AAGCTCGGAAGCTGACGAAGAAGAAGAGGACGGTCAAATAGAGCCATGAAACAAGGAGCACGATTACCGGATGAAGGAAAATACTCCCTACTTTTACAGGACAATGGGTGTCGAAGAATTTTCAGACTGGAAAATCGAGGTAGACTGTTTCTTTGATGTCATGGAAGTGCTAGAAAATAAGCCGATAAAAAATGGTAGCTTTCCTTTTGAAGAGCACTGCTGCAGTATGGTGGGACAAACTGGTGGCTCAACGCCAACGAAAAGGACCGGTTCGATCATGGCGGCGAATAAAACAACTAACGATAGAGCCATATCTGCCTGAAGGCTATTTTCTCTGTCATTGCTTGTTGCCAAAGAGGGTTAGAATTCCTTGTAGGAAGTAGGTTCATGATTGGATAAGAGTGTCATATAGCAATGATAATCAAGAAGATGAGAGGGAACATGTCTTACCTGATATGACCGCCATATGTCTTGCGGTTGAGAAGTGTTGGGATCCGTAGACTCGGCAGATAGCTCAGATGTAGACGTCGAATATGGCATAGATGATTGAGCATCATCAGAGGACATGAACGGAAAAGAATCAGATGGGAGAGAGACATATCAATAGGTGCCTCAGATGTAGAAGTGGAAGACTGGGTATAGAGATGAGATCTAATTGGAGTAGTCCAAAGAAATAGAAGTGTCAAAGGAAGAAGGATGTAGGAGTAGATGTTACTTGGAATTTAGATTAGGAGGAGAATGTTTTATGTTCCCATAATATAACATGATGGGATATACGAAGCCTCCTTGAGATTGGATCCCAACAATGGTAACCTTTGTGTTCAATTGCATAGCCAAGAAAGCAACATAAATGAGAGTGAGGTTCAAGTTTGGTAGGTTCATGAGCTATCTGATCAACCTTTTGGGCCTATCTTCCAAAACATGGACAGGTAATGGTAGAGGTTGGAGAAGACAGGCAGGTTTCTGTGTCGCATATTTGTTTTGCTGACAGGTCGTACAATTGGCAACAAAGGACTTGACGTCTTTGTAAAGGCCCGTCCATGTGAATTGATCTGTCAAATGAGCGACCGTTGCTTTCACTCCTGAATGACCACCCAAAGGAGAGGCATGATATTTGGTTAGCAAACTAGAACGAATATCAGGTTCATCGGGAATGAATAAACTACCCTGGATATAAATAAGGTCGTCTTTCACTGTTAAAGAACCCGCATTTCCTGAAGAAGACCTCGGAGTTTGCTAATGAAAGCATAAACTGGTGAGGAGATAGCAGCAAAAGACGAGGGTGTTGGCTTATCAATTCTGGACAATGCATCAGCTACCTTGTTTAGTGTGCCAAACTAACAATCTCGTAGTGAAATCCCAGTAATTTGGTTCGATGGAAGGGCTGAGATTTGGGCTTGGAGTTGCTGGAGGATGGTGGTGATTGAGTTTTTATCGGACGATGGTGAGGTGAAGGTCGACCACCTCACCTGAGAAGCTAAGTCGGTGATGGTTTCCTCCAGGTCCTTCATTGGTTTATGAGGCATGGCTCGCTCTCAATGATAGATCCCTCTTTAAGCCAGGATCGAAGCTCCAGAAAATAGAGGGAGAGAGAGTAGCAGACAAGTTTCTTTTCTTCCTTCGTCTAAATATAGAGAGAGAGGTTGGTCTACTAACAAACATTCATTCAATGCCACGTGTTTACATAGATAATGAATTTAGTTATTCATCTATTTCATTCTAGAAAAAGTCTCTCATCCATATGGGCTTTCTGGTAAGCCTTTTGAGATATCTTGCGGTGGTGGGTTTGCTTCTTGTGACCCTTTTTGGGTTTGGGTTTCTTCCGTCAACGACTCGAGATGGGGGAATGGGGATGATTTGGCCGATCTCGTACCAAATAGCTAGGGAATGCATGTTGTAGTGTAGATGGGGATGATCGTAGGGGACAAGGTGGGTAGAGGTGGTTTCGAGGTGGTGGCTGGAGATGGCCTTCATTAGAGGAAGGGATTTGATCAGCGAGGACATTCTTTAAACGCGATTTTTGAGTCGGTGATTATATATATGTGTATATTACTTTCTTTTTTTATGTTTTTGTAGAAAAAAAAGTAAAATGACAATATTATTCTTAAATTAACACAAAAATAGTTAGTGAAGTTAGGTTGAGGATCCACGATAAAAATGAAATCATAGTGATTATACATATAATTATTATTTTTTGAAAATCCAAAAAATCTTTATGTATTTGGTCTATGTGGTTTTATGTTTGTCTCAAATTTGGTCCTTAAGAGTTTTTTTACTCCAATGTAGCCCCCACAGTTTGCATTTTTATATGTTTTGGACCTTATTACCAACGAGGCAACGACTGTTAAAATGCATCCGTTAAATGAGGGGCATTTTGGTCTTTTACAGTTCTTACCATTTTCTCATCTAAATAAATATAAAATATATGTAGATTATATTAATTCTTATTTATATATTTTTAAGTAAGGGGCTATTCGGTAATTGTTGAATGATTTGGCGCAAAATGATTAAATTGTCAGAAAGATTAAAAGGCTCTAGTGCAAAATGAAATATAATTGTTTCGTCATTAGGGCTCTTAATGGTTAAGGGAGGCCCATAATACAAAATCATTCAAATGGTTTTAGAACCATTAAGAACCAAACTTTTTTTTATCAAACAATATTTACCTCTTAACGGTTCAAAATATTGTCTTTTAATTAAATTATTAAGAGATAAATAAACAATCCATAACTATTTTATATTATTTAAAAAGAAAACACTACTGCACCCATAATCCTACCATCCATGTCTAATCAAACATAAACAAGAACCCACCATGCCTCCCTCTTCTCACCAACGACCCACCCCTCATAAACCCTTCTAAATTGTGACCCGATCTTCATCTCATGTTTGACCACAAATCACGATAAGATGGTGTGAAACCCAGATATGGGAACTCCAGAATGCAAGTGGTGGGTCTCGGTTTCATGATGACATAGAACGAGATTGCAAGCGATGATTCTTGGTTTCACGGTGGCGCAAATTGTGGGTGGAAACGGCAATTATCGGTTTCACATTTTAGTCATTTAATTTATATGCTTTTGTATCACAAATTTTTTGAATAATTTAGCACCAATTTGTTGTTTAATTCTGAGTTTTTGTGTGTGGATGTTATGGTGTGTTGCGGCCGAAGAAGATGATCGGAGAAAACTGTCCGGCCATAGATGGCCGGAAAAAGTTGGTCGGCTGGAGAAGACGAAACTAGATGACAGTGATTTTGATTCCCAAAGGAGATGACGAGGTGGGAAAGGGGATGATATATATTTTTTATTTTTTAAATGAGAAAATAAGCAAAGTTGGTGAAGGACAAAAATGCCCCACAGTTAATGCTAGAACCAAGACGTTACGAAGATGCAAACTCTAGGGGCTATATTGGAACTAAAGAAAAACTCCGAGGACCAAATCCAAGACAAACTAATAACCACATAGACCAAATCCATAGTTTACTCTATTTTCTATTGTATTTAGATGAACTTGATATATTTTAAGAACTATTTACCAAACGCTTACTCGGATAAGTGTTTATCAAGTCATGTTACCTCACCGGATGAATATGCAAGGACCAAGAATCTTACCCGGTAAGAGCGAGACAAGGACCATGAGTCTTACCCATTAAGTGAGGACGACGAGTCTTACCACGGTAAGCGCTTACCGGGTAAATTGTTGCATACGATGTCGTTTTGGTGAACTAAAATCTTACCCGATAAGTAAATAATAGTGTTAAATTTTACCGTTAAACACTTACCAGATAAGTGTTTGGTAAACAGCTCCTTAAGGATAAAATAGACAATTATACATATTTAGACATTTGCTAATTTACAAAAGCAAACAGTGTTGTCCGTTCTTATTTCATACTTCAAACACCGGCTTGACTTCAGACTTAAATTCTGTAAGATAACAGAAAATTTAGATTATATTAAAGCACAAAATAATCAAATAATAAACGATTTAAGAGATATTAAAAACAGTCTATTAGAAAAACAAGATATAAAGCAAAAATCACAAGTTACAATAAAAGAACAGGATATAGAAAAATTAGTTAGTGGTTTAAATAAAATAAATATTAGTGAAGAAAAACCTAAAAGTAAAATAATACCCTATAAACATTGGTTACCACGAAAATGAATAATAGAAATTTTCCTGGAAAAAGTAGAACATTACAAGAAAGTAGAAGTTCTACAAGTAATAATAAGCATATGAAGGTCTATAAATACCTTCATTCTCTTCATTTGTAAATAAGAGTGAACTAATTCAAGAAAGAATTTTCTCTCTATATCCATGAGTTACTAAACCTCTCCCTATCTATCTCTCTAATATAGGTTGTATTACTTTTCTTTTTCCTTTATCTTTTTTATCCATCTGCAAAAAATAATTTGTTAAGATTTCTTGATAGTATATCAGCTATTCCATTATTTGTTCCATTAATATATTCAAAATTTATTTTGTAACCACATCCTTGTATAACATTTTGTAGGTTAATCCATCGTGTTCAGTTAACTTTCTTACTTTGATCATTTTTAATGAAACGAACTATAGCTTCACAATCGGTTCTAACTGTAAATTCTTTGTATAAAAATATTTTGAATTTTTCTAAGGCATTTATTAAAGCTTGGATTTCAAAATCTAAGCTTGTCCAGTTCATACCTATTTTATTAAAATTTCCACTTGTATACAAGCAAATCTTTTCTGTATCTTTAGGACTATATTTATTAGGTTTACAAAGAAGAATGTGAACATAACTGGATCTATAAAAGAGGAAATAATTATATAAAATGCTCTTATTGCAGATATTACCCAAGTATAGATAAAAGATCACAATGTAATATATGTTTTAAAGAAATTTGTTACATTTGCCTTAAAAAAAGTCTTTAATATTGAATTAAATACAGAAAAATATATTAAAAAGAAAGGAAGAACATCTTTTAAACAACAAAACACCTAAATCTTTTTTAACCACGACCTTTTCCAATTAAAGCCTATCAACAAAATCATCTGTAAAATGATTCATAAACATTATACAAACTCCTCAAATATGCACAAAATTAACCACCATAACATAACTGCTTTTAAACTAGTTGGTTATCATAATAATTTGAATAAAATCTGTTGTTTCTTACTTATTACCTGGGACCAGATAATTCAACAGCATGCAAATTCTCCGTAGAATCAAGAATCCAGTCGGAATTTGGATGCGGTGCAAGATCCACTTCTTGTCGGAGAACTTCAACTTTCTGCCACTCGTCCCATCGTTCAGCCAACCCGTCCCCTTCAAGCATTCTCACGACATCTGACATCTTGGGTCGATCCATAGGTGAGCCTTGTGTGCACAGCAATGCAACCTGAATCAGTTGTTCGACTTCTGAATCTATGTAATTGGCTTCTAGATCAGGATCCACAAGCATTTCCAGCTTCCTCTCTTTTAAAAGCCCTTTAACCTGAATACATATACGAGTATGAATATTGAATAGACACCATTACTATCAGTCTTTCATAAGCATTTTTTAGGAAGTCATTTTTTTAAACAATACATGATTACTGATTCTCAAGGTTCTCAATCTTTTTGTGATTCTCATTTTATTATTGCCACACACATGTATATACAAATAGGCGAGAACCGCAGAAAATGAAAAACTGAGAAACACCCATATAACCATTCATTGTACGTTATGCACATTCGTATACAAGTAATTTATCCGGTATGCAAATGTTCATAACATGCACACATGCATAGAACCTAGGAAACATCTTAATTTACTTATATGCACATGTGCATGCCGTATAAATAAATAGGTATTAGAGTGTTCCTTAGTTTTTCATTTTTCGGGGAGGTTTTCCCTTGAACCTCACTATATGCATACATGTGTATATATATACATTTATGAGTATGTTGACTGAGTTTCTAACCTTCCCTTGAAACATTAAACATATTCCAGTTATATTCATCGGGTGGTTCATTTGAGAAACAAATATTCATGATATTTGTTACCATATTCATCATTATGAATATGTGGTTCCTTGGTTTTTAAAATATTCATGGTTCCTAAATGAACTTCCCTTTACATTTCTAATCAACTATAGTCTAATCTTATGTTTTATCACCCAATAGGAGTTGGAGAAACGATAGGAGTTTAGGCATAAGTCAATGCTAACAAAAAATAAACGGACTTAGTAAACCAAACTTGAAAGTAGGGTCTGAATGAGATGTAAGCAAATCTAACCTCTACTCCAAAAGAGTAAAATAGTTGTTTCCATAAATAAGAAAACCGCAGCTTGTGTATGAGTGTGAGCAAACAGGTAGAAGGAAAATGCTTACCCAATCAAGTAACATGACATCATCGTCATTAGCAAGGCGAGCAAGATCAAATGCCCGCTGTCCCGTGATTAGTTCCAAAAGCATAATTCCATACCCAAAAACATCAGTTTTCTCAGATGATTTTCCGGTGGAGAGATATTCGGGAGCAATATGACCAATCGTGCCACGTACGGCAGTAGTAACATGTGTATCTTTGTAATCCATTAATTTAGCCAAACCAAAATCCCCAACAACAGCCTCGAACTCCTCATCCAACAAAATATTTGCAGCTTTAACATCACGATGGATGATCTTCGGGTCACAATGGTCGTGCAAATAAGAAAGTCCTCGAGCAGATCCCAAAGCAATTCGTTTTCGGGTTGGCCAATCTAATGGTGGCTCATTTGGTGGCCGCTCTACAAACGTGCATAATATGTCAGATATTAGATCATCCAAAGTAACTGCATAGATGAAATGGCTACATCTCCAACATACTTTATCTATCCCCATAAAAAAATTATCGCAGTTTCCATTTCGACAATTTATATACTAAAACCAATATTTCATGATTTTAGAAAATTTTAGGACATTTGCAAAAAAAAGGTCAATTTACCTGTATGCTTATATCATAACAAAAGTTTAGGTTGTTTGGTTGGTTTTCCATTAACTCTGTATGGATAAAGCTGTCTGTGTGAATTAATCTATCCGTATGGATTAGGAGGGTTTTCTCATATAGATGGAAGGAACTTGTTTTTAAATGGGAGGGGCAGGTATGGAAAAAACTTGGCTTTCTGCATAAATCTCCCCACTAGAAGCTTACTGAATAAGCCACTTTCTATATCATTATGCCACTACCAAACAGTGAGATTATGCCACTACCAAACAGTGAGGTATAGCTGACCGAATACCCGGAGTCCCATTAAGCTGCTAAACAAAAGGCCCTTAGATCCATTTAAAAACTATCAATCTCTACATCCCTATATGATTGCAACACTTCCATTTTAACAAGTAAATATAAATTGCAACATTTCCAATTATGGCAAGTATTGAAAGCTAAAATACTCCTCCGTCCCAAGAAAAGCGTCCATATTTCTATTTTAGTTTATCCCAAACTAAGTATCAACTTTCAAAAGTAAGTGCATACTTTCCAATTCTACTCTTAATTATGAGACTGGGAAATTCATTACACCCTCTCTTATTAACAGTAAAATTGTCATTTAGTTTATTAAAAGTATAATAATTACGCATTTCTAAAACTGTGTGCCTTTTTTTATTGTAAACATTTATTTGGGGACAGAGAGTAGCATTTCCCGTTTCAACAATTTCTATACTCTGTCCGTCCCAAATTAATTGTCAATATTTTATATTTTAGTTTGTCCCAATATAAGTGTCGACTTTTAAAAATAAGTTTCCATTTTCCCATTCTACCCTTAATTATCAAGGGTAAAACGTGTGCAGAAAGTCATCCGATCCAATTAGAACCAATCGACCATAATCGGATATCCAATGTAATCCGATCATATCGGATCCAAAATTTCAACATCCAAATCAAATCGGTAGGTTCTTGGATGGCAGTCCAGCATCCACTAAAACCAAACGGATCCAACCCGATGACCATTCATTTCCCCATCCAATGACCATCCAATTATCATCCAACTAATATCCAATTAATAACTATATATAATTATTAACATTTTACAATATATTTATTTATTTGATATTTGTGTACATTGTTTTATAATAACTTAATAATTGGTTGAAATGGTGGATTAATTGGTTGAGTATTGGATCAAAGGATTGGATGAATCGAATCCGATCCAGTGGATAACCAATAGTAACATCCAACGGATGGTACCTATCCATCCAATCATCCATTGGATTTGGATTGGATCAGATGTCCAATATTAATCGGATCCACCTAAATCCATTGGATTTCAATTGATGAACACCCCTTAAAAGAGTCATTTAGTCATTGTGGACATTCATTTAACATTTTTATGAATCTTGAGGTGCATGTGGAAGTCTATGTATGTAAACTTGAAACTTAAGTAATAAGCATATGGTGAATATAGGTAGAAATACCTCTCAAACAGGACGCAACACTTCCATTGGCCATATATGGATAGACAAGCAACCGTTCAGTTGGTGTCATACAAAATCCCCTTAAACGAAGGAGATTACGATGCACAGCCATACTAATCATCTCAACTTCTGTTTGAAACTGGAGCTCCCCACCAGGAGTGCGCTCTTCCTTCAATCGTTTAACAGCAACCAGTGAGCCATCCGCTAAACGTCCTTTGTATACCTTCCCAAATCCACCTCTACCCAATATGTTTTTATTGCTAAAACTATCCGTTGCAACTTGTAATTCTCGTAAGGAAAACCTTTTAAGCTGTCCCAAATGAACTTCAGGATCTTCTTCAGCTGCACACACATGTTTAAAGTCATAATAGACCAACCATAAACAATTTGTTTCATTTTAATGCAAAATCACTAACCAGGCACATCAAAGAAAAATTCTTGAGGTTTTCGACGCCTCCACCATGCAAATGCGATGGCAGGGGCGGCAAACAGTAGAGCAGCTCCGGCAGCAACCCCGCCAGCTATGGCTCCAGTCGCGCTGCTTCCACCTGAAATTATGGAACACTTAAAACCAACAATGGATTCTTACTTCTCAAACGGCAAAAGCGCATCAAAATGCAACGAAGTTTGCCTTTTTCCTATTTAGGGTAATAAAGATATTTTTTTTCAAATCAAAATTATCTATTTAATAAAGTTTGAAAATTCCCTATTTTTTACCCAATTTGACCGCTAACCTGCTGATCTTGTAACATTTGATAACGTGGATGCAAAGTTTATCATCCACTACGCTATAACCCTTTCCTAAGCATGTATCTATGTCATCAAATGTCACAATATCAGCAGATTACTGTGTACAAAATAGGGAATTTTCAAACTTTGTTACAACGATAGGAAAAAAAATTATCTGTTTCATAGGAACTAAACCAAAGTTTGTTGCATTTTTCTCCTTTTTTCATAAGTGAAGACGGGAAAACTTAAAGATACTACTGAAAGAACATCAACGAACATATTTGAGGCAACACCTGGTAAAGCAATCGGGGGTGGTGGCACAAAGGGTGGAGGTGGAGAGAATGGAGGAGATCCTGGGCAAGGACGTCCAGTAACGGGGCCACAGAGATCCAGGTTGTTAGCAAAACTAAAAAATTGGACATTAATCTTTATCAGTTGTATTATTGGAACCATAATTCATAACAATGACATAAAATTATTTTATTAATTAACAAACCTGATGGGTGTAAATAGTGAGAATGAGCCATTATCTGGAACTGATCCTGAGAGATGATTGTTTGATAAATCCCTGAATAACAAATTAGCATGAAAAATGTATAAAGTTGCATATTTTTTGGGTGAATTAAGGGAAAGGTGGGAAGAAAGAATACTTACAGCACTTGCAACGATGTGATATTAGTCAATTGCATAGGAATTGGACCAGTCAAGCTGTTATTGTTAAGCCGGCTATCCTTACACAAGAACACCAGCAGTCAAGAGATAGTATCATTTCATGAATGCAAATGCATGTTTCACAAGTTATTGAAGTTCTTTTTCTTTCTGTTTTTTGGGTGGTTGGTCTAAAATAACTCCTTTACAACAAATAAAGGGGTTCATGAATGTTAAAACACGTTTTGGATCCTTAAGGAATTAAGAGTCGGATCCTCAACTGCAGATACCATAGATTATCAAATCTAAAAGGCATTTCGGATCTCATCCTTGTACAACTTCGGATCAGACAAGGTCTGGTCCTTAATTTGTATTTCGGATTTTAGACAAAATCCTAGGAACATTTCTAATTGTTTCATCGGATGTATTTGTGCAATCATCAAATAAAATGGTTGAGACCAACACTAACCCTCAAAGTTTATACAAAATCAGCACCCATCTTACCTATAAAAAACCCATATTGGTCAAGTCATTCTAATAGCTTCGGAATACCCTTTTTCCCCACAACAAAAACTACAGTTATAAAACTTAAGACACAATGTGGATCAATATAATTGATAATCCCCATCTCTCATCATTGTTCCCACCCAGAGGTGGATTTAAGAAGGGAGGAGGTGCCCATGCTACCACTTTCTCATGTCAATGTGGTGGAAAACTTTAAAGGTGCATCAGCTTTAATTTGATGTGTGCTCTCATAAATTAACAAAAAGTGGTCCTTGCCTACTGGTAATGTCATTGCATGTGGCATTACAGCTTATGCAAGTTCGAATCCCTTTGCTTTATTTTTTGGCCACAGCAGCAGAATAGAAAGAATACCCACTTGGGTGCAGAGAATTGAGTGTCATTTTTAATTAAACCGTACTTGTTTTCCAATTCACCTAAATTCATGGTTGCTATGATTTTCATCAACAAAAAAAACAGAACAGATTGTTTCCTTATATGGTATACAAATTCAGACAGGGGTAAACATCCTATTTCACTGGTGTACGATTCAAATATGCAACAAGTTATTTCAGTTGATAGAATATGTTGCATTCACAAATTGGCAAAACCAGATAAGGTTCTATGATATGATTTCTTTATTTAATCATTAACACAAAAACTCTCTTATATTGAAAAAATACGATTTTTTGTCCAAAGTTCTCACCTCCTCATTCAATTGAGAAGGATCTAAGATGATCTATGCACTACTTCAGTCACTTCTCATAATTCCAGTAAATAAATATGTAAACTGTGTAGCATATCATATATGATATAACACCTATTCCTTTCATTTTCATCTGCCATATTGTTGTACAATCATAAATAACATGGCAAGAAAATAATTGACAAAACTAGTAATGAAATTCAGAGGACAAGGTAAGTAAACATACAGGAATCGCAACTTTGACAGCTTGCCCAATGTGACTGGAATGGGTCCAGAGAAACTGTTGAGGTAAAGATCTAAGCTGACTAAGTTTGTCAAATTTCCAAGATCATTAGGGATTGGACCACTTATATTATTGCTGTACAATTCCCTGTTGAAAACAATCAAGCAACATTTTCAATTACTTACATAAATCAACAAGTGTATCAGAATTTTCTCTTGTGCAGAGAACTCAATGTCAATAGAAACATATGTTGAATAAAGAAAATGATGTTAACATAACAAATATTGGTCTACTGTAACGCTTCAAAGTATAATCAAAATTCAAACAGTCCCTTACGATGAAGTTTATGAGAGGAATAACCGAATAAACTCATGTAAAGTGGAAATTAATTTCTTTAAGGATATGTTAGTAGGGGACAGGTTCCATCAGCAACCTAAAATTGATCAGGAACCCGGGAATCGCCCCAGCACGACATGTGGCATATTCATCAGGAAATGTGCTATTCATACGAATGTCTATGATGAATAACACGTCCATAAAACACATCCATATTCATCATGAATTGGTGATTCATGATGAATAATACACATCCATATTCATAATGAATATTCATCCATGGTGCACTGTGAGCGGTTCCCGGGTTCCTAATTGATTTTGGGTTCCTAACGGAACTTCCCTCATGTTAGTAGCCTTTAATAATGCGGTTGTTGTTTTGGCAATTCCTTCATAATATCTTAATACTAAAATATTGTACATGGTATTGATTTTGTTTCTAAAACTCAAATACTTTTTCATTGGTACACCACCAAAACTAAGAAGCTATGTACTTCCATCAATTTCCTTTTGCCTCTATTTTTCCTCCGGGATGCAGGAAGTAAAAAAATAGAAGTGTCATCTACTTTTGTCAGCAATGAATTGGTCCAAAAACCCACAAGCACAAGTGAACAGTTTATATTCACGAGTCAAAATAAAGGGGAACTTGATTCCAGACCATTATTTAACTAAAATCAAATAACATATGTTGGCTTATTTAGCCAGCGAGCCAACCAACCCAAGACTCAAAGAGCAAGAAGAAAGGCTAAGAACCAAAAGCAACCTGACAAGTAACAACAAGTATTATTTTGGAAAATGACTTACAAGTACTGCAAATTCTTTAACAGACCAATCTGTGGGACCAGAGTACCAGATAGAGCTGCGTTTCCAAGATCACTGAAAAAATTTAGGTGGAAAAGATGTCATTAAGCTATTTGAAACATATTGTTATTCGGTGACCATATTGAAGATGGGTAGAAGGGAACTTACACTCGTATAACACTATTATCATTGTTGCAGGTGACATGAAACCAAGTGCAAGGGTTAACAAGGGTAGGATCCCAACTCTGGAGCACACTGTTTGGATCGTCTAAGTTAATCCTCAGGCTATGCAAAGCATCACCTGTGTAAGAACTTTGATAAGTATATCATAACCACATTGTAATGCAACATTTGCAAGTCCTGCCATTACAAAACAAGATCAGATATTTGTAGCTAACAACATAAGATACCTTACCAAAAGCTCATTGGCCCAACGATACCCAGGTTACTGGTAGAGCCCAGCCTCCCAAGAGGTCATGGGTTCAAACCTCATCAAAGGTGAGGAGTGTGTGTGATTACTTGTTGTAGATAAATATTATATAATTGAAAAATATTAAGATCCCTCAAATCATTGCCCACATTATGAGAGCAAGAACACAATGTATGCAAGGATAGAATAATGAGTTGAAATGGATTGCTAAGGTGTGCATTGTGCATACAGCATAAGTCATAGAGACGCCTAATCTAAGGGCCTATCTGTTAACAGCTTAATGAGCTTATTGGGATTCACAGCTTATTCGGTCAGCTATAAATGGCTGTTTGGTAGTGGCTTAAACTTGATGATATTGAAAGTAGCTTATTCAGTAAGCTTTTAGAAGTAGTTTTATGCCGACAGCCAAGTTTTTCCTAAACCTGCCCCTCCAACTAAAAGACATGCTCATCGACTCCTTCCATCTATGAAAAACCCTCACAAACAAAAACCTTCACAATCTATACAAACATATTAATCCACAGAGTCAGCTTTATCCATACAGGAGTTGATGGAAAACCAGCCAAACAGCCCCTAAGATACTGTTTTAAAATGATATATGCATAGATAAAATGCAGAAATTAAATATAAACTCATAAAGTCTGCACTTGTGGGAATACTGTATTTAGTCATAGAGATGGCAAATCTGAAATACCCATCAGGATCTTCCTTTAAATGATAACTGAAGGATTTAAGTCAGTGCGCATTTGTACTTGTGGAACCAAAAAACTAAAATTGCCACAGGTAATTATCACTGGTTTATACTAAGGCATCTAATTGTACTTAAAAATGATAAATCACAAGCATTGTTAACATTTAAGAGCCAATTTGGGAAACTTAACAATAAATCTTTATCACATTTCCATAAAGGGCGATCATTTAACTTTACCAACTATAATTCAACAAGAAGGTACAATAGATAATCCAACAGTAAGATACATATCACATGCATAAAATTAAACTAGATTATCCAACAAAATGATTTTATTACTAAATTTAGCAGCCTAAAAACCCTAATTTGAAAGATAGGTTAGTCAAAATCACAACCCCAAACCCCTCAAAATAGGAAAATTGCAACAAACAAATATAAATAGCATAAGCGCGCGCACGCGCACACATACACATTAGCTCACCTTCCATATTCGCATAAATGAGCTTCACCGGGTGAACCACCAGGGTCAGACATATCACAAGCAACATCACAGATTGTCTTCCCATCACATTAATAGACAATGTTTTTGAGGGATTATATCACTTCAACTATCATCTCTCAGATCCAAATAAAATACACCCAAATGCAGCATTACAAGATAAAAACAAAACCCTAACCGCAAAACTGCAAACTCGCTCAAATCTCCACCATTGCGAACTAGAAAAACACCAACACAATCAGAATTGAAGGCCTGATCTCATGAAAAGGAAAAAATGAGCAAACAACGCCAAGAAAATTTCGAAAATTTCCTTTCTTCAGTACGATCTTTACGTGTCTTTTTTTGCTAACTTTTCGTCTCCTGTTTACCTTCCTCTCACTAGAAATCTTTCTTTCTCTCTCTACTGCGGAGTGTGTTGGAGTGATGGAACCAACTTTTTGGGCGTGTGCAGTGGCTTTTGAGAGGTGCCTGCCCGATCTGCCCGAAACCGGTTCGCGGTATCTAGCTGCCCCATAAGTCCGCGTGTATTTTAATTTAATTATTTTTTAAATTAATAATCCTTAATTATACGGATAACATTTGGTAAGTAAATATTATTGGATGTAATAGAACTCAATAGGATTAAATACATGGTGGTGTCTGATTGATTTGGGTTTGCCTCTGAATGTTTAAAATATCAGGAGGTTTCAGATTCAAATTCAAGAAGGAATAAACATGGGCACCTACCATGGTGGTTATGGTGACACGTGCCACCGTATTATTTCTCCGTCGAAAGGTAAAAAAAATTAGGTTCGTGAAAGTTGCAACAATATTAATCTGTTGTGTGTCACCGTATGTATTTTAAAACTACAATAAGAACAAGTTTTATTTGGTAGAGTTGGTTTGGAAGGCTTTTATTCCACTACAGACCCAAATTCAAATCTTGTTGGTGTCATTTTCTTAGTTAAATGGTGTCACCGATTGAAAAAAGATTATGTATATTTGTTTCTTAGTCAACCGGGGCCACTGTTTGAAATTTTTTCCCTATAGTTTTTTCTTATAGTCAAATAGTGCCACCGTTTGAAAAAAAATATGGGTCCGTCCCTGGCAATAAAAATCCCCTTGTGGCCACTGAGGTTCAAATGCGATGACTCCGGACTATCTGCAAAGCAAGTGGTCGTCATGGCATTAGTCGGCTCGCATAGCGAATTGGATATCCAGGTTAATAAAAAAAATAAGGTTGGATTAGACAAGACATCTTGTTTTTCTGTTATTTGGTACGACTATGATTAAATATGATATGACTAGACAAATTGTTTTTAAAAGTTATTTAATAAATTTATATATCATTTAATAATTGCAAATGACATAAATCAAGTAATATTTAAATAATTTAATTTAAAATTATGTTTACATAATTATATATACATAAATACACAAACGTATGTATGATAATACGGAATTTGAAAATGAAGAATTTGATGTAATGGATGATAGTCCGAAATAATTTGGTTCGTATAAAAACTATGTTTTATTATGTTCGGAATATTCTTTTACAATTGGCCTAAGCATGAGGAACGTCGTTGCAGTGACAATGGTGGTGAAGGTAGAGGCAAAACGACAGCTAGTGAACAACGATGACTATAGAGGATGTGAAGATGGTCGGCAGTAGTGATGGAGGTAGTTGTGGACCTATGGTTGTGGGGGGTAGTAGTTGTAGTTGATGGTGGGGGCGGTAGTTATGATGGAGGTGGTTGATGGTGGCAGTTTGTGGCGGTGAGGAGTGATGGTGGAAGAGGTTGTTATAATAAAAGAGGAGGTGGAGGTGGTCGATGATAGTCGCCTGTGGGCATTGGTGATGATAGCAATGACACATGTAATGGCGAGCATTAAAACAAATACCGTATTAGAATTATATCAAATAAGGGTAGATTAGTAATTTTTTTTGGTTATGCTCACCTTTGGCCCCTTCTTATTCCACTTATTTTTGTGCCACAGTATCCCACCCAATTCAGCCCTTATCCCATCTCGGATCAAAGGTGAAACAATAAATTTTGTCCTGTCAATGTCATGTCAAACGTAGGGTAATGAGTTTTCTTCTTTTTAGTCTCATGTACCAAACGTGGACATAAAAAGAAAAGACAAAAGGAAATAAAAGAAAATTTTAATTTGTATCCTTAAGAGTGAAGATAAATAAAAGAAAAATATACATTATTTATTTTTATAGCGGAATGTAATCGATAGAAAATATATCATTTAATTGTTATAAATTCTTTTTTTCCATTTCCTTCCACATTGGGAGTAGGGATGACAAAAAAAACCGAAACCATGGTGAAAACCGAAAACCGAAACTTTTGGGTCGGGTACGGGGACATCTTATCGAGAGGGGTCGGGGATCGGGACAAATTCGGGGATTTTAACAGGGGCGGGGACGGTGATCACTGGCTCGGTCCGACCCGATATGTGTATATATATTAATTTTAATTTATATATATACACACACACACACACACATATATATATATATATATATAATATCATTAAAAGAAAATAGTAACATTAAATTTTAAAAGACTTTTATCTACTTTACCTCAACTAGAGATGGCCAAATGGGCCCGGCCCGGCCCGGGTCCGTCGGAGGACCGGGACCGGGACCGGGACCGACAAAGGACCGGCCCGGGACCGGGACCGGTAAGGACCGGTTATGGGACCGAAAACCGGGACCGGTTGAGGTTTTTGGTAGTTTCGTGRGACCGGGACCGGGACCGGTTATGGGACCGACTATGGACCGGCCCAGCCCGGCCCGACCCGAAAATTCAATTAATTTTATAAATTAATGTATTTTTAAATAATTTTATAATGTATTTTTATAAGAAAGCGTAATTTTAATTATATTAAAACGCATTTTTAAAATGTATTTGAGTGACCCAATTGTAAATTTTATAATGTATTAAAAATATATATCATTAAAAAAATAAAATAAAAAATCTTATTTTTTTAATGAAGGACCGGTTGGGACCGGTTGGGACCGAGACCGGGACCGGCGGCCCATAACCAGTTATAAAGTATCTATACCGGTCCTATCATTTTTGACCGAGACCGGGACCGGTTACGCCGGGACCGGTTATGGCCGGTTATGAGAATGGTGATGACCGATTGGGACCGGCCCGGGACCGGTTTTTGGCCATCTCTAACCTCAACAATCCAAATAAGGTTCACGAGAAAATCTAGTTTATTTGTCTAATCGTGAAATTGTGATTTTAGTTTGTATGATGTTTGAATTTCAATTTAGTTTTATATTGTAATATAATACATTGTTTATAATTGGTTCGATTATGTTTGAGACATTTAAACTTGCATCTTTAAAAAAACTGTAATCTACTTTTAATTGTGAAAAATTAACATAATGTATTTTTTCTAAATCGGTTTCGGTTTCGGGTTAAACCAACGGTGAATGAGAAAAATAAGATTTTTACCCTTAACGGGTTTCCCAACGGGGATTCGGGAAACCACGGGCACCCGATGGAGATCCCCGACGGGGATCGGAGTGGTTACGAAGACGGTTTTAGTTATCGGTTTTAGGGACGGGGATACCAATAATCGACCCGAATCCGATCCGTTGTCATTCCTAATTAAAAGGAAAGTTTTAATAGGAAAAATTAACATTATTTTTTTCCTTCTTCAAAACATAACATTTAGAGAACACAAGACATTAAACATTTTTATAAACCAAAAGTAAAACTAATTTAACGTGTTAAGATTAATTATGAATAAAAAACTTACCAAAAATAAAAAAATTGTTGAACATCTATGGAAACAAATAAATCTTGCATTTTTGATAAAAACATAAATGTAATAATAATTATATTATTATATTATATTATAAAACATTTTAATTTTTTTTTTCTGAAAGAAGATATAGTTATTAGAACATTGAGGTCGTGTTTAATAATTATAAACTAAGGAGCCGTTTACCAAAACGCTTATTCGGGTAAATGTTTATCAAGTCATGTTAATTCACCGGATGAATATGGTAAGGACCAAGAATCATACCTAGTAAAAACGAGACAAGGACCAAAAGTTTTACCCGTTAAGTGAATGCGACGACTCTTACCACGGTAAACACTTACCAGGTAAATTGTTGCATGCAATATCGTTTTGGTGGTCTACAATCTTACCCAATATGTAAATAATAATATTAAATTTTATTGGTAAACACTTATCGAATAAGTATTTGATAAACGACCCCTAACTTACTTTTTATACGTTATTTTAAGTTGTGTATCAATAAGTTTTAAGAGTTATTTATCCTTTTTTTTCCTGATTAAGTCATTCATATTTATTAATTATCATCAATTACGGTTAATCATTGATTGAAAATTATTAACTATTGATTAATATTTATTTTATATATTTATATTTTAAT